GCACCAAATTTCTCATAAGGAATTTTTTCTTCGGCAATTTCCCAAAGAAGTATACCAAAACTATAAACTTCACACTTTGTATCATATTTATATTTTCCAGTTAATTTTTCCGGAGCGCAATATCGTATAGTTTCTAGCGTTGCTTTTTGATCTTGTGTCATATCGGCTATTGCTCGGCTTGATTTAAAATTTGCAATTTTGGCAACATCATGATCGGTAATTAAGATATTCTCTGCTCTTATATCACGATGAACGATCTATTTTATCACCCACAAAATAAAAAAGGGTTACTTTAGAAGTTCAGAATTTTCCTTGGGGAATGGAAGAATTAAAAAAAAATATATATATAAATATACCGAAACGGCGCTCAAGAAATTTAAGCCTCTAGCAATGTCAAGGGCAAATCTTAATTTCAGCTTACAGTCAAGTGGACCATAATTTAAATAATATTCACGTAAATTGCCAAATTCAGCCCATTCCGTCACCAAATAATATTTATCATCATATGAAGTTAAACCATGAAATTGAATAATAAAATGACATTCTTTCAATTTTTTTAAAATCGTGACTTGACGTTTAAATTTAACTTTCTGATCTTCGGTGCTAGTTTTATCAGTAACCAATTTTAATGCGACATAATCATTCAATCCACGTCTCTTAAATTTTCTTACATTTTGATTTTCTATGGGATCACCTTCTTCTTCAAAATTATTATATTCAAGTAATTCACTTTGAAATATATCTGATTGATCTGTTGTTGAATTGTTTGCCATTTGATTTACTGTAATATTAAGCGCACTAATTTGTTCGACCATTTCTGAGAGATTTTGATTCACGTCAGTAATACCCTTGCCAATATTTTCAAGGTACTATATAAAAACGTAAATAAAAATAAGATCACATGCATTCATAAAGATCAAATTATATATCCATACCTGAGTTAGATCATCGATATCAGACTTAATAGCTTTGTTATCTTTGTCAGCACGTATGCTAAAGTCAACCATCAAAGAAAAATGCAAAAGTTTTATAGTAGAATCAAATTCATTCAATATTTCTTTAACACGTTGTTCGATATTTTTTGCATGAATATATTTGGATAAACCTTTTATCTGAGAAACTTCTTCAACGAATTTACGAATTCTACCAATAACGTTAAGTAACTTTTGTAAATTAAATAAATTTTCTTCTGTAAAAAAGTCTTCGCTTTCATCCCTACGATTTTTTAGATTTCTAACGGCTGTATCAGCTACTTGGACTCTATCCAACAATATCCCACATATTTTTTTATTATGTTCTGCTGCTTGATATATTTCTACTATTTCATTGTATATTCTGGCTACATCTGCGATAAGTGGTAAAAAATTTGCAAATGGTACTGCCATGTCTATTGCGGTTTGTACTCCAGTAAGCACTGATGATGTAGTGCTGAGCGTTGATTCTAAGATTTCTCCAGAATTCTCAGCCACCTTACTAACCATTCTAACAACTTTAGTTCTCTTAGATTGTTTTTGAGAACCATCATCTGGTTCCTTACCAACATTTGTAGACATTATAAAACTAGATATTTGAAATTTTCAAAAAGTTTTAACATAAAAGAAAAAAAATTTTAAAAGGGTTTTGCTTAAATGTATAATTTGGAGATTAAACTCCATTAGGTTTCATTAGGAACATTAAAATGGAAAGTTTCACAATCCTGAATTCACACACAATATGTACTTAAATGTTACAAGACAGTTTTGTTCAATATCTCAAATTCATAATAAGAAATAAAAAAAAAAAGGCGCATCTATCCTGAGGTATATTAATCTTATACTGATAATCGTAATTATATTTCATTTCTATGAGATATTTCTTCCGGAAAATTGCAGATTTTGGATTGACCCGATATTTCTGGGCGTTTCTGTATGCACCTGATGTTCTTTTTATATAAGGCTATGATCACTAAAATAAAAGATTTTATGTTTTTAACAGTACCATATGTGTTTATTTAAAATTTACTATTCCACTAATTTTACTGGATTTACTATCGGAGTTGAATTTATTTAACATGATTATTAATATTAAATAAGGTTTGATAACTAAATCATTTTAGTGATTTAAATGATGTAATGGGTGAATTTGGCATTTATTAAACATTGGTCCCTTTTCTTTTATTAGGAAGCAACTTGTGATTTATGATTTGTAATTGAGAAATTTGTAATGATGTTTTGAATTTTGACAAACATGTATCTTTTGAAAGTTTTAATTTTTACTGAGAAAGTTATTATTGTCAGTAACACGTGATCTAATTTAAAAGTCAAATTTTTTTTGATCACGGGCGTAGTAACCATGAAAATAACGGCATTTCCGGGATCCCTCTGATTTTGCGGTACTTTTACATATTCTACACTTGCAGTTCAGATTGAACAGAATCTTTTGTATCTAAGTATTTTCGATTCCGAACTTTATACATAAGAATAAATATGCATTCTGGTTATCGATTCTATAGTGAACATTTAATCGGCGCAGCAAAAAAAATGAATGTTATCATTAAATAAGATCACTAAAGGAGAAAAGTCTAAACTTTAAAATGTAAAAAAGGAAATCTCTTTTATCTATTATACGATTATAAATCACTCAATACGAAGAAAATTCTTAGAATCGGTTCTCTTTCGTTGTTGAACGAAAGAAATCATAATCGCTAATGTAATTTACCAATCCGTTCATTATTTTTTACTTTTAGAATAGGTTCTTTTTAAACAAGAACAAAATTGTAATATAAGTTAATTTCTTTCCATTTGGAGGAGGTTTGTCATTTTCCGATTATGATTTATTATTTTTTTGTGTAATATTAAAATGAAAATGATTTTTAATTTACGGATATCCATTCGACACGTCACTATTACAAATTTATTTGGTCCGACTTCACCAAAAATGGTTGTTAATCTAAAACTTACCAGAGCGTAAATTTTAAGCGTTACCTCCACTTAGTGTATTTACTGGAGGGAGACAAAGTATATTTGCTTTTCTTGAAGGTTTTTCTTTCTGATTTATTTCGTTTCCTATTTCTTCTCAGAGAGTATGCACAATAAAGCGTATGATGGTAAAAGATAATGATACTTTCAGAAATCATTTAAGGATACGTGAGGTTTAAATAATGATCCTCATATAAATCATGGTGATGTTAAAAATTTTGTTCCATGAAAATGTTAGATTTGTATGATATTGAATATCTTATTCTGGTCATCACTTTTGAAACTTTAACGAGGCTTATAACCTCGTTATATTATAGGTAAACATGAAATGCATGCTTAAATATGGTTGCAAAAAGGGTTTGCGCAAAAATGTTATGCATGGTTGCACCGTTGTGACGATTTCGAATATTACTAATCTAATACAGTACAGTTTTGTGTAAATCTCCACATTTTAAAATCAAAATATAAGGAAAAATAATTTTTAATACACACAGCTCTGTTTGTAACCCATATTCCTAAACAAAAACCATATTTTTTACACCCTGGCTCAGAAACAAGATCTCTTACCAAGTGACAAGTAAAATTAAGAGACGTATGATGTCTCAGTTGAAACATTGCGACGATGGCCAACTCCGGAAGAATTGCTATGTGGAAAATGACTCTATTCAATTACAGAAAACCAACAAACACAAAAGGCCAAGATCTGCTACGCCAGAGTTAGTTCAGAATAGAGGCCTGCAACGGACCGGCAATTTAGAATTTTCCGAGCCGGTACCGGGTTCCGGATTTTTAATAATTCTGGAAAATATTGTAATTTAAATAATGAAATATGTAAATAAAGGAGTTTTAAAATGTCAAGAAAAAAAAAAATGCAGAAAAGGTGAAGGTTATATTTTAATGAAATTATTGACACACAAGAGCAATCAACAATGGATAGATAATATTTTAGATTTACATAGCATATAGTTTTAATTTTGATACATTACTGTTTTTGGTATTTGTAAATAAAAAATATTATTGACTATTAAATTTCGCATCGCTAAATAGCATAAATTAATTATTGAGTCAAGTTAGCATATTATTAAGTCTGGGTCGGGCAGAGAGCTTTTTAATACAGAAATTTAAGTCCAGGCTGGGCTGGGCTGGATTTTAATACTTGTCTTAAAGTCTGAGCTTCAAAATTTGGATTCATGCAGGCCTCTGAGCATCAACGGGATGACCTCATAAAACAGATCGCAAATCTCTAAAGCACTACCCAGAAAAACTGGATTGAACACACACTGGGAAATCGAAGAAATGATTATTTCCCAAAAGGTTGGAGTTTAATTTTTTATTTGCTTTTATTTTTATTTCCTTTAATATTTTATTAACTTTTTTTATTAGGATTGATTGTGTTGATTTAGATCAGAGTTTGTAGAATGGATCTTTAAGAAGAATAGGATTCAGCTCTGATACTCAGTACAAATGTTAGTGCTGAGAGTGGTGAAGCCAAAGAATTTTGCAGAAGACTTGCTCTTGATCGTCACAGTATTTGTTTTAAGAAAGATTGACAATTTATCAAAATATTGGGATAAAGCAGCTGAAAAAATTATATCTTTTTACTCCTCAACCACTTTAAGATATGAGCCAAAAATCAAGGTAGACTCGGGTATACAAACATTTATGGGTCTACTAATTTACCCTCCACGCTATGATTGGCTGGTATAATTGATTATGCTTATTTATAACATCCAATAGCGTGACAAATAAGCATCACCCACCGAAAAAAATTCCAAGTCCCTCAAAAATATAATAAAAATTGAAACATCACCAGTGTCACGCCGGTGAAAAATCACCTAACACCTAACCCTAACCCTAACTAACAGCCAATCATAACGTGGGGGGTAAATTAGTAAACATTTATAACTGGATATGATCCAAGTAGACAAGCTGTAGAATGTGACTCAAGTTTAAGACACAGGGAATGATTAGACGTGAAAAATGGCAGATTTCGTTCTAAGACTTCTGATTCTGCTAATATCTTTTACGTAAGCTTCCATGGTGTCAGGTACTAGCAAGATATGTGGATGCTGCGGTCACGTCCATCAAAAATTGGATGGATCCAAAGTGTTCCGATTTAATAAATTTGTAATTTCAGGTGACACAAAGTCAATTTATTTAGTTTCGTGATTAGAATTTCCTTATTTAAATCTTTATTGAAGTTTTTTTTATTTAACTAGACAAGTTAATACGAATGCAGTGTTAAAATAGTTGATATGTTTTAATAATGTCAAATTGGGAACTTGAGAATTGCTACAAGTTTTATCTTCCGCTGTGGGACATTCTACAATCTTTTTCGTTCTATTTTTTGTTTTTTTTTTTTTTTTTTCAAGAAAATTTGTTAATGAATGAGATTCAAAGAATTAAGCGTTGGAATAATTAAATACTTACGGATCAACCCAAAATTCAGGACCATAATGATCGTATTTAAAATCTTGAGGAGGTAAGTGAGGTATGATATCATTCTCATTTACAACTCTAAAGAATTTATAACCAGTGTTCTTCACAAAGTCAGCAAAATCTTTATTACCCGTACGTGGTTCACCATAAGTATAAGTTAAAAGGTTAGAAGGATTCAAACCGGGGGTTCCGATTAAATCCAAGGTTTGAAACACGGCTAATGAACCACCTAAGGAATGTCCGGTGCTAATGACTTTATAATCAGGATTCTCTTTAACCAAATCTTTTATTAATTTGGTAATCTCTTTCCTTGTGTCATTATAAGTGGCCAAAAAACCAAAATGTACTTTTGCATTTTTAAATTTGGGATTATCAAATGAGATTTGATTAAATTGTATGTCATTTATGAACCCTTGTACGTTTGCGGTGCCTCGATAACTTACTATAATGGCCTTTTCTTTATCATTAATTGCCACGTAACCATTATTGTCCCTTGGCCCAGTTTTCGTGAAAAATTTTATTAGACGTGTCTCGGCCGTTTCTCCTGAACACGCTTTACCACATTTCCAATCGGTCACATCACAATACGCGGCACTAGTCATTAAGTGAAGGGGAGGTCAGTCCGTGGAAGAGAATCAAGTGAAAAGCAGATGATAATCCTTACCTAGCGTATTTTACCCATAGCTTAAATTCTCGAATGTCGGCGTCAGGAACTGGAATCTGGTCCTTTTGTCGACGATGAAGTGAACGTAACGGTGAAGCTTCACCAACAATACTAGTCAACACGAATAAGGATAGAAGGATGACGAAAATTCTTTTGACAAATGTCTCAAGGAAATCGTGATTGGACATGTTTGTAGTAAGTTTGGGGGGTATTAATATGTTTACCGTCAAACAGTAATGGGTCTGTTTTATAAATATTTCCAAAGAAAATAAACTAGCGAGAATTTAAATTTTGCAACACGGAAATTTTGTTATATCCGATGATGCAATTTGGGTAAATTTTGTGATAAGAGCGCAGAACAAAAGTCCAGCTTTTGTATCAAAGAAAGTGATAAAGGAGAGAGAAAAGCATAAAAATTTTTATTTGAAAGGAAATAAAAAAATTTTTTTTTTTTGGTGGTTGTCTTTATACGCAATTATGCGCATAAACCGATGAAAATCGTAAAACTGGACATCGTCTTCTCCGTTCAATTCAAACGTTTTCATAAGGTTGTGATCCATTGTTGTTAAATGAAATGAATCGGGAAATCCAAATGTGATTACTTGGACTAGTGATTTGGAAAACAAAAAGTCTTTTTGTTCTACAAGACGGTAATATTAAAGTACAAATATGTAGTAAATTACCATCGTGATGGCTATCGTGTTACCTTTACCTGCATGAATGTTTATTAAAATATAACCATTGTTTACCAATTCTTTTAGAGTTTTGACAGTCAGCGTTCGATATTAAAAAATCACATGGAGAAATCCTTCGAGAGGCGAGAAAAACCTCCGTGTTTAGGAACCCGTTTCAAAGTGTCGCAGTAACTAATTAAGGTAGGATTTCGCGGTGCTACATATTCATTTAATTCTGTAAGTGATGTGATTGAAGTGTAACACACATTTACATTATTTCCTGCAAATCGTTCACATGACACGACCCAGAGGAATGATTTATAAATAAAGGTCCTAATAAAGGAACTTTATAATAAGAAAATAAAAAATGTTGTTGTTCCTCAAACGGTAAAACGGTGAAATTATAGATCCTTATCAATTAAATTTAGATAATGCAAAATTCATACATACATCTCATTTGTACAATCGCAAATAACCTAAAAAATCGTTTACCAGCCAAGAATTTTAGGATTATTTTATTATTTGCATTATTTTAATTTCTATCTTGTGCTTTTAAAAAAGGTGATGTGGCTGCACAAAATAAATTATTTCGTGGTACAATTATAAATCAACCTTTCTATGTAATTTGATGATCCACTTACATTATTTCCGAATAATTCAATAAATTTATTCTATATTCGGCACATAAATGAGACATTTTTAAAAACCCAGCCGCTTTGTTTCTTTTTTTTTTTTTTTTATTTTACCCTTTTTTTTAAAAAAAAAAAAATAAAAATAAAATAAAAATACATTTTCTAAATTTAAAAAACTTTCTACCCCGTATACTCCTTCCCATACACCATACACTCTCATTTTTCCTTATATTTTTATCTGCTTATTATAAGACATCATTGTTAGCATAGATTAACCAAGTCGAGCCTCCTTTCTATTTTTCACGATTTGATAAATTTAATTGTACGAATTTTTTTTTTTTTTAAAAAAAAAAATAAATAAATAAAAGGAGACTCTATTTGACCATTCAACGAGCTTTTGCAACATTTGCACTCAAATTCTTTCGTTTAAAAATCAAAAGAATATTTTTTTTTTATCATTCATAAGAGGATGTCATTAATGACCCGACCGAAACGACCTTCATTTGCCATCGTAAGAGAAGAATATAATTACAACGACCCTGATTCAATAAATCCAGATTTATTTTGTTCGATTTGCCATGACGTCTTTGATATAGTAAAAAGAACCAAAAGATGTAAACACTTATTTTGTTACGCTTGTATAACGCAAGCATTGGTTCAAAATAAGTCTTGTCCAATTTGTAGAACTCATTGCGTCGAAAATGAATTCCATTCCGATATTAACGTACAAAATGTTTTGGATCAATTAATCGTGTATTGTAACTTCTCTCCTGAATGTGATTGGAAGGGAACTAGACATGATTTAAAATCTCATTTACAAGTAAGTACCCCCTTCAAGTTTTTTTTTTTTAATAAAAAAAAAAAAAACGACTTACTAAAAAATAAAACAACCAATTTTTTTTTTTCAAAAAAAAACAGATCGAATGTCAATTGATTCCTGTACATTGTAACGAGCATGAAAATCATCAGGACTGTAAAGAAGTTTTAAAACGTCAAGATATTGAAAAACATCGAAGAGAATGCCCGCATAAAACGATTGGTTGCCCTTTAGGATGCAAACAAAAATTTTACGAATTAGAAGACCTTGAAGTAAGTTACATTATTTTCTTTTTCTTTTTCTTCTTTTTTACAAAAATAAGAAATATACTCAACCTTGAATCTCTCTATCAGTTACATATGTTAGAAGAATGTATCAATCGACCGGTAACATGTCCCTTGTGCAATAAATCTTTATTACATTATGAATTAAAAGAGCATGGATTCGTATGTTTAAATAAGAAAATAAATTGTCCACATAAGAATATTTTAGGTAGTTTTGGAGGATGTTTAGAAGAATTTGAAAGAAGACATTTAAGTGAGCATTTACAATCATGTAAATTTGAACCTTTTAAAGAGGCATTTAGAGGAATAAATATGCAAATGATGGCTTTAGAGAGAAAGATTGAATCAATACAAAGATCATATAAAGATGAATTGGATCAATTATCAACGTTAAAATTACACGCGGGTGATGTTTCAACACCTGAACAAATTAAAAACATATTAAAATATAATCCCGCAATAAGGTCTTTACATTTACTGGATTTTCAACCTGGTACGAAATGGCAATATTTAACCCACGTATTACAAACAAATGACACGATAACAACGATATCATTAAAAGGAAGCGAGATTGAGAAGGTCGGAGCTGTCTTATTAGCCAAATCGTTAAAAAATAATTTTTTCATTCACACTTTATTACTTACCGATAATAATATCGGAGATCAAGGCATCGGATATTTATCAAAATCTCTGGAAATTAGCAAGACCATCAAACATATTGATTTGGCGGGAAACAATTTTGGTGATAATGGGATGGAATCATTATGCAGAGCATTAGAATCAAATTCTATCGTTGAAACCCTTGATTTATCGTGGAATAATTTAAGAACAAAAGGTATTGAATTTTTATCAAAAGTGATAGAAAGATCAAGATGTAAAATACATTCTTTGGACCTTAGTAATAATGATATCGGTTATAAGGGTATAGAATTTTTGGCCAAAGGGCTTGAAACAAATAGGTCCATCGTGACATTAAATCTTGAACATAGTAAAGTGGGTAATAAAGGTACCGAAGCTTTATCAAAATCCTTGGAAAAACATAAACATTTACAAGTATTGATTTTGGCCGAGAATCATATCGACGATAGAGGTGCCGAATTTTTGTCCAATGCTTTACTGGTCAATCAAACCTTACACACTTTACACTTGGAAGGCAATTTGATCGGTGATACTGGTACCGAATGGATCGTTAATTCAATGAATAAAAGTGCTCTTGCTGCTTTTTCGGGCGGTAATAATGGTAATTACACTAATTTGATGAAAACCATTTATTTAACAAGGAATGCTTTTAGTAGATCGGGTATTAAAAACTCTACTAAGAATATTAAATTTGTTAGAGTTGTTACTGAGCGAGAATGAGGAGAGGTGATGGATTTTTTTTTATAGTGTTTATAGGAATTGTTTTTTAGAATTTTTTTTTTTAATTCATAATTTTTTCTACTTACCGTAAAAAGTAAAAAGAAAAAATCCTTTATTTATTTATTTATTTCTTTAACTGTATATTTTTGGATAAATATTTTTATATATAAAGACTTATGGTATCACTTATAGTATCACAAATTACTTTTTGTTGTATTTTAAGTCTAACCGTGAAGAGAAAAAAAAAAAAAAAAAAAAATAATAATAAAAATAATTAAAAATCGTTTAACAAATACTCTTTTGGGCGATTATTTTTTTTTAACATTCGCTTTAAAAATAAGTTTTTTTAAATGGTGACGATAGTGTTCCTAATCGGTTAATTATTTAACCGCATTGCCATATTAATATAAATATCAACTATAATACACTTCTTAAGTTTAGTAATTATTTTATATAATTATAATTTAAATTTTATTAAAAAAAAAATATTATCCCTTAAACTGTAAGTATAAATTGTTTTTAAAACATTTTTAGGAAACTTAAAATATTTTGATATCTATATGTTTATAAAAAAATAAAATAAAATTTTTAGATTTATTATATTATGATGTATCCAATGGTAAAATTAATAATTATTAATATATATTAATTTTTTCAATTTTTTAATTTTTAAAAATAATTTATTATCTAATAATTACAAAATATAAAAAAAACTCTTTTCACCAATCTTCTTGACCAAAATGTCTCCAACAACTAGAAGATAAAATACATACAGAAAAAAATCTGAACCTTATAATAAAACTGCTTCAAACTCCTTAGACAATAATAAAGAACCCAGTGTCTCAACCTCCAATGATAACAGAAAGAACAAAACTGATAAAAATGCTAATAAAGTTACAAAAAAACAAAAAATTGAAATTCTGAAACTTGATATCACTTCTACAACTTTAAAAGTTTCAGTTGTCACTCAACCTACATCAACTATTGAGCAAACTATTACAATTACTCCAATGACAAACTTTGTTTTTGAAGATTCAGAAGTCTATGAAATGAAAATAGATATTGCTAAGAAAACTTTACTTTTTTCTTTATAAAACTCTAGTACAAATGATTCTATACATGTAAAAATATAACAAATAATAATACTTCATCTTCATTTACTTTTAATGTTGACAAAGGTAAGAATAAACAACTCTCTTAGGCTATCAAGTTAAAAGTAACGTAAATGAATCCAACCAAGCACGTAATTCTAATGCAAAAGATTTCTTTTAATATAATTACCTCACTTACATATTTTTTCATATCTGATAATGCTGTGAATATCACTGGCAAATTTATTGCTGATAAACGCTATTTCATCAACAGGCTCTTTGTTAACTTTTTTGGCTATCAAAGAGTTTTGTATAACTCTAAACTAAGAAA